GGGGTTAGATGGCCTCCTCTTCCTTCTCTTGATCATCATATAGATTGCAATAAGCTAGTTAGATGTTCGCAGAAGATATTAAAGGCCATTTTTAAGGTTTTTTTGTTTTGTTTTTGTTTTTTGTTTTCTCTGACTAAAGGCAGTAGGCAGGTGGGATGTTTGGTCTTCTGACGGGCACATGCTCATTTGTTCTGACCAGGCAGCAAGGTGCTGGATGCCAGAATGGATATACTGGACCCTTTACCTCTATACTTAAAGCATTTAGTGTGTGGAGTTTGCTAAACCTCTGTATTCTGTTTCATTCATAAGGTCGAAGCCTGATGTACTCCAATTTAGTGACAGAAACTACAGTGTGCCCTCTGCCTGCTGGCTGTCCCTCATGTTCTGCCTTGTGGAGAGGGGAAGCGGGGTTCTCCAGAGGGCAGGCTTTGGGATCAGAGCAGACCTCCTTACTGTCAGATTGCAAACTCATTAGGTCAAGCCTTAGGGGAATAGTCACAAATAGACTGCATAGCTGTGTGCTCGGCCGCCGTTGTCCCTGCCGTCCTCTGCCTGCCAGCTGTCTCTGCTTTGCTGTCTCTGCTGCCGGTGAGGTGAGGTGAGGTGGAGACTGGGCCCATGCACTGAGTGCCGTAGCCTGTTTGTTTTTCTCTGCTGTTTAAAACCCAACCAGTGGCTTTACTTCTGCTGTGTGATGTTGACAGGTGTGTGTGGTGGCATTTTGTACCTTTGTACAGGAGGAGCATGTTCTGGAAGTACAACCCTGCAGAGAGAAGCCCTCCACCTAGGCTCTTTGAACACACTGGCCTTGTTTGGGGGGTTCTAATTTTCATTGTTGGATGTTTTGTTTGTTCTGTTTTATTTTGTTCATTATTGTCTTTGTTTTTCCACTTTTATTTTGTCCCGACATTTTCCTTTATAGTCCACCATTAGATATTGATCAGTTGAAGCTCATTTTAAGACTCGTTGGAACCCCAGGGGCTGAGCTTCTGAAGAAAATCTCCTCAGAGTCTGTGAGTTGATGCCTTGATTGTAATTACTGCCCTATTGGGGAGCCTCTGCCACTTGCCTACGTCACTCTGCACTTTGACCTCTGAATGGTTGTAAGCGTGTGTGCTCTGTGTGCTGACTTCTGAAGTATATGTGTGTATATACACATATGAGTTTGCATGTACCTGCTTGCATGCATGAGTGTGTTTTATTCTATCTTTATCTGGGTGTGGACTCGAGATCATGGGAACCCCTTTGGGGCAATTGTATGCTAATAAAACTGAGAGTTGAGGTTCCAGCTCATTCCAAGAGATTAATGGGAAATTGGTATGTCTGCTCCTGAGCTATGCCTTCTCTCTGAAGTTTCCCACACACTCAACTCTTCACTTCTGCTGAGAGTCTAATCTTTGAACACTTCCCATGTCGCTAGTCTGACTTCATCTCTGAAGAGTTACCTGCTCTTTACTTCCCTTGAGGGGCACCTCCTGTGCATGGTGTCTTCCCATGGGGCTCCTGTCCCTACCTTCAGACCACACACAAACTTCCTCTACTTCTGACAATCTCCAAATGGCTCTGAGCTCCTCCAGGGACCTTGGTCCATACAGTGACTAGCATGAGGGGCCACTTGGAACTCATGTTTTCTCCATGGAGGCCCTAAGAAGGTGACTGTTGTTTACTTAGCCATGTTGGGTTTTGTTTTGTTTTGTTTTGTTTTAAACTGTTGGTCACTTTCTGAGGCCAGAAACTTTGGTTAGGCTTGGAAAGCACCTCCTTCCTCTATTCCCTCTTAGGGAAATAAACTGAGGAGCCCCAGCAGTAGCATCCTAGGTCCTCCCCTCCCACCACTTCTCAGTTCAAGGGCCCTCTGCCCACTGGGTATCAGGAGGCAGGCACCAGCACATGAGTTTGGTTGTTCATCACCTTGCCTGAGAAGATCAGGACCCAGCATGTGCCATGTGGCTGTACATAAAGGCCTGGAGCGCAGGACAGCTGTGAGTTTCAATTCTGAGTGTGTAAAAGGATGTGCTAGCCTGTTTCATTGTGTTCATTTAAATGTTTAAGATAAGGAAGTGGACACTCAAAGTGACTTGCCTGAGTCCTGCTTTGTGTCATTGGACAGAGGCAGTGGATCCTAGATACTCTGGTAATGTGAGTTAAGCATCATCCCATGCAGAAGTATTGACCACAGGCAAAGCTGGGAATGCAAAGCCAAAGATAGGAGGGTGTTTCAGAAAGGATGAGGTTGGAATTTTAGTGTGTTACAAAGAATGGCTGATAAGAGGACATGGGGACAAGGTGGGGCTTGGGAAGGAGTTGAGCTAGATAGAGAATAGTGCTGAAGTGGCCCATTCCTACCCTCCCCAGGTATTACTGTCAGCACCTCTGAGTCCTTCCCACTCCACCATCTGCCTTGTAGGTATATACTGCTTGCTAAAGGTTCTGAAATGCACATATGGGAAAGCTAATATGTGCCCATCACTAACCCATCATTTATGTTTAAGAAACAGTGCTGGATACACGGCCTAATAATGAAATGTCTTTATCTTAACATGTAATGGTGGTCATATACATTTCAACAGTTCTAGTGCAGCCCTGAGCAAAATTAAATCAGGTACCAAAATAAACATCCTCTCAAAAAAAAAAAAAATACTGTGTTAAGTATAGTAATCTGAAAGGAGCTTTTCCCCTAAATAATAGTCATGAGTGGATCAAGGTAGTCTACATGTTTAAAAGTGTGGCAAGGTTGTCTTAATGTTGATGACACCACCCAACTTGCAAACCTGAAGAGCACATGATGCCAGGTATGATGGCACAAGTCTGTAACCCAGCACTAAAAGTCAGAGGCAGAAGGATTGAAGAATTGGAAACTCTTAGGTTACATAGCAACTTTGAGTCCAGCCTGAGCTAATTTGTAAGACACTGTTTCAAACAACAACAACAAAAAAAAAAACCAAGTGTTAAGATGTAGCTCAATTACATGAACATCCCCAGAACCCCATGGGGATGGCAAACACATAATGCCTAAGTATAGGTTTTTAAAAAAGGTGAGAAAATTTTTAAAAGAAAGACATTAGTAAAGACTCATAGTCAACAGAATACCGTGGACACTTCATTTCTCCCAGAACAATTAAGCAAGCAAGATCTGAGTGGCAGAATGTTGAGACAGACACCTAGATTAACTAGGGAAAGAACAAATCACAACACTCAGAAAGCAAAGGCCTGCCTCTTGTTCCCTGTAGAAGCAAGTTTTCCTGGCCCTCACCAGCTGGGGGAGAGGGGGAGTAGGGGGTGTGTTTCTGACCACCTGTTTGACAAAAGGAGATGAAACCAGATCCTGTACACCACTCCCAAGGAGAGTGTTGGCAGGACATTGGTGTGTGAGACCTAACTGAATCCTGTCCTGGCTGGTTCACTCTGTGACCCTGTTTATTCTGTCTCTTAGCGTGTAGAATACGCTTATCTGGAAGGTAAGTCTGTATGTAGTCTGGTAGGAGCCAGCCATCTTTGGGCTCAGGTAGAGGATGAGCAGATCCATTAACAGTAATCTGACGTCAAGCGGGGTTCCACACACTTGAACCATTGAGGAAGCAGCGTTTAGCGAAGCTACAAAGGAGTGAAATTATTTGGCTTGGTGTTTACTAAAGATGAGACTTCAGCTGAAGGATGGATTCAGAGAATGGGAAGGAAGCTCACTAAATTGTGTTTAGTTTAAAATACTATCATCTCTTCTACTCTGAGAGGAAGTGTAATAAGCTCGTGGTGGCTATAATCTGTAACTGGCGGATTGTGTTGCTATTGATTGTATGGTTAAAGGAAGTCTAGAGTTGACTATCCTCTGAATAAGGACACTGAGTTGGCTCAGCAGCAAAGGAACCTGAATTGACTCCTAGGACCCACATGGTAGGAGGAGAGAATTAACCTCCTACGACTTGGAAATCCTCTGACCTGCATGAATGTGTGCCCTGCTCCTTGTTCTCCTTCTCTCTCTCTCTCTCTCTCTCTCTCTCTCTCTCTCTCTCTCTCTCTCTCTCTCTCTCACACACACACACACACACACACACACACACACACACACACACACACACGTAAAAAGGAGGAAAGTTTTAACCCTGTCAGCTAAACACAGCATTTTGAACTTTCTGTTTATTGAAGTTCACTCCATAGGTATGGGGATAATTGTGGCATGCTCTGACACTTGTCACCAGCTTGTGGCTTCTGTTTGGCTTTTGCCATCAGCTTCCTAATGTACCTTCTCCACTTATCTATGTGTTTAAAGCATGCTCTTTCTTTTTTCTTTTTCTTTCTTTCTTTTTTTTTTTTTTTTTTTTTTTTTTTCTTCATCTTTTAATGAGACATGGTTTCTCTGTGTAGCCCTTTCTATCCTGGAACTCACTCTGTAGCCTAGGCTGGCTCTAACTCACAGACTGCCTGCCTCTGCCTCCCAAGTGCTGGGATTAAAGGCGTGCACCACCACGTCCAGCTGTGGCAAGCATTTTAAATGTACCATTGCTAGTCAATGTTTTTGAGACTTGGCATAGCTCAACACCTGTACTCAAAGTGTCTCATCTTTAGGAGTGTGACTCCTAGAACCAACACTCAGCCTCTTCCTCAGGTAGATCTACTGGATATTTTTGTTTTCCAGAGTTTAGTTACCATTGTCTGTCTCCATCTTATGTTTTTACCATTGTGGTAAACAGGTTTTGGCTATTGGTACTTGAAAACAGTTCTTTGGCTGGCCTCCTGGATCAAGGAGCTGTCTGCTTCCAGGGAACTTGAACTAGTTAACATTAAAGTTGACCCTTAGGGAAAAGCTAGTTTTCATGTCTGCATGGCCACTCACTGGCTGCATGCCTAATAGCTCCTGCTAATCTCCAACAAATGCCCTGGTATAGGTGGGAAATACAGTTGTTTTGTTTGGGGATGACTTTTTCACTTTAAGAACCAAAACCACAGCTTGGAGTTGATTTTTGCACTGTGTGTTTAACAATACCCTTGACCAGGCATCTAAGATATTAACCAGCTTCAGCAGATAATGCGTCTGACGGGGACACCCCCTGCTTATCTCATTAACAGGATGCCAAGCCATGAGGTGAGAACAAATAGCACATCCAGGGAGGTCTAACTCAGAGGCCACCTTCTCATTGTAGTGTCTATGTATAACTGGAAGTTTCTAATGTCACCACATGCTTGCATGTGCTCTGAGGACTGCTGGGGCAGTGCCTGGCTTTGTGCTAGCAGGATATTGACATTTGGGATAAAATGTCATGCAGACTGAGGCAACGATATAGTGTAGGCTTATAAGTAGGGAGCAATGTTCCTTTGATGTTTGGTTTCTGAATCTTGTGCTTGAGGCACTGTGTGTCTTTGTAGGTGTGTGTAGTTAGGATATGCAACAGCTTCGTCAGAGGTGCATGGAGCAGAGTCCATTAGCATGCTTTCCTATCCATCTGTCTTTAATGACCGAGAGAGCATTGTATGCAGCACTCACTGTAAAATAAGCAATTCATAATAAATATGAGCACTCAGTAAGATTGAGGTTCTTGACCAGTTCATACTGTTTAACTTAACTCCAGTTTATGATGAGAGGTGATGAAGGTCCTGCTAATGGACCCTTAGTATTTTGGGAAAGCAGGTTATCAAACAGACAAACCCTCAGCAGCATTGTTTGCATTTCAGCCCTAGCTCAATGTACTTGCTGTTTGTATTGAAGGATGGCTTCTTTGGGTGAGATGGGTCTTCTTACCTCTCTCTTCCTTCCATTCCTTCTTCTAGGCTGCATGGTTAAGTAGGAAGGAATTACAATCATGTGTGTTTGTTCCTATGACTTTTCGGGTTACAGTGAGTCTGCTACAATGCCAACTACTCTTTAAACTTGAAAAGACCACTTCTTAGAAGTCTCGGTTCTGTTTTTAAACTTCTGACCTTGTGATCGGAAAACTAATGGAAGGATATTTGATTGGTTAGCAGTCTCACCTACATGAACAGAACTGGGGGAAACAACAAGACTTTAGTCAGTGGTCACAAATAGAGGAATTGAGGGGCTGGAAGAGTAAGTCTGGCGTTAGCATCTGAGAGAGTGATCCACATTGGAATGGGGCAGCCCTCAGCACAGCCGCTGGCCTGCTGACACTCTGTGAGCAATGACAGTACTGAACAGTCATTCTAAAAGTCCTTGTTTTCACAGGCAAGAAACTACATTCAGTCCCTGGCCCAGATGCCGAAGATGAACTTTGCAAATGTGTTTATTGGTGCCAACCCCCTGGGTAAGTTGATCACATTCATTTTGTGACATAAATTGGGAATTTGAAGTTTTGTTCTTCTTTAAGTATCTTTTGAGTCTTCATAAATATAGCTGTTACAGTCTGTACTGTCACATTTAAACAAAAGTCATATGGTGGGCTTGTATATGTATATGGTCATGGAATATGGTGAAAAGGACAAGGGCAGCAAAGAACGGAAAACAGTAGGAAATTATGAGAGCCTGAGAAAGAAGGAAGGAGGCCTACAGGCAAGCCACCCAGCCAGTGCTGGGTGGAGCCCAGCACTGGGTCCTCTACTCTGATAGGCTCACCCACCATTGCTGAATTAATTTGTCATCTCAGACTTTGGGGAATATTTCTTCTTGTCCCATCATCTCTAGGATCCCCTAGCAAACGGAAGTGACAATGATAGCTAAGAATGTGTTTTGCCAGGGGACTGGAGAGATGGCTCAGCAGTTAGGACCCAGGTTCAATTCACAGCACCCACATGGCAGCTTACAACTGTCTGTAATTCCAGTTCCATCTGGCACCCTCTCAGACACACATGCTCATAAAATAAGTCTTTTTAAAAAAAAAAAAAAAAAAAAAAAAAAAAAAGGTGTTTTGCCTTAGCTGAAACTCAAGTTAGGCTAACTCAGGCTTCCCATGACCCTAGGACAGTTTGCTGAGGCTCTGGTTCCTTATTCTGAGACAGTGTAGTGGGTAGATGGGCCAGACCAGTCTCCCTGTAGTAGGAAGGGAGTGAGAAGGTGTGGCAGCTGGCGTGCTCCGGCTCTTCACATTCCTGCAGATGTTACTGTAGGGCTGTTTTTAAATCACTGCACTCACAAGTCTGTGGGTCTGGGGCTTCCAGAAGCCATGCACTAGAGTTAGTTGTCACCTTTGGAGAGCTGGTGGCCATGGCAGTGGCTCCAGAAGCTGGGATACCATCCATAGCTACAATAAAGAAAAGTGGCTGTGGTGATCCTATAGCAGGAGAGGTGCCCGCACTCTTGGAGGACTGAGTCCAGCTTAAGCTATGTCACTCTGGCCTTGGGCGTGCAGGGTCCTGAGGGGTTAGGTTGGGTCTGTGGCCTTCCTGGCATGCTGTCACTGGGCCTTCTGTGACATGCTTGAGCTGCAGCATCCAGGCAGGGGTCTGTGAGGTGTGATCTATAGGCTCTCCAGGATATTAGGGGAGTGGAGAATGAGGCCACCCCAGCACCCCACATTTCAAATGTTGCAGTGCCTACTTACTGTTTGACTTCCTCTTATCTGCCTCAAAAGAAGAGCAGAAGAGCCTTTGATTGAAGTCAGACATGTCCTGATATGTGTCCCCATTTAAGCAATGAGAAGAACCACCTCCCAGAAGTCAGTCCAGACTGCTGAGGAGTAAAATCTGGTGCTTAGCACAGTCAGCTCATATCCAGATGCACCTCAAAGCCCATTGCCAAGTGCTGATGGCAAAGGGAACACTCTCTGTGACCCATTGCTAGCCGTCTTTATCTTGCTAGCTGAACCATATGCCAGCGATATATTAACAGCCCTGTTGTCAGTCACTGGCTTCCCATCACTGCTGTTCTCAGAACACCTGAGAGCTTCTTGCCCTTTGATCTTAGTGTCCATGTCTGTTGAGATCCTTGAGATGCATTTTTCTTGCTTCTGACCTTGTTCTCATCTAAGTGCATGGTTCTAAGGATGTATAACTTTTTGCTGTATGGTGGCAGGCACCCACCCATTTGTGTTCGGTATGGAATCAGATTTGTAGTTGAAAATGAGAAGAATATGTCCAGGCAATTCACGCAGCGCTTCAGTGTTGTTGAAGACAGGGTCATGTGGCCCGTCTTCTGATCCTCTGCTCCCAACCCCCAAGTGCTAGGATTACAGGTGTGCACCACCATGCCCAGTGTGTGTACTGCTAGGTTTGGAATCAAAAGCCTTCTGTACACTTGGCAAGCACTTTACGAGCTACATCCCAGCCCTTCTTTAAAATGTAAAGTGTAAACTTAAGAATCTGAGCCAAGATATGCATAGTTGCTGTTTCTTCATTCTCTCAAAGCCTGTGTTTCTGTGGCTGACTCTGGAGTTCAGGCTGCAAGATGCATGAACACTCTGATAAGCAGAGGGACGTCATCTCTTCGGGAAGCTATCTTCCTCCTCAGCACCCACAGCCTTCCACTGTGAAGAAATTATCTGGGGCTGGAGACATGACTCTTCCAGGGGACTCAGTGGCCTTTTCTGGGCTCCTCAGCCAGCAGGCATGCACTGCAATGCACATAGAACTAAAGAGGAAGAACCTGTGGGGTCAGGGAAACCTCTGTCTCATTGATAACTGTTCAGGGTGGCATTGCCAAGCAGAACATCCTCCTCCTCATAGTTAGACAGCTCTCTGTTCCTCAGGATCTAATGAGGCCATTGCTCTGGGAAGAAAAAAAAAAATCAGTAATGCTAAAACATTATTGAAAGTAACTGATACCAGGAGCCAAAATATTCCCTCAAATTACTCACTTGGAGAGCGAGGGGAAGATCTCAAGGTGCCAGTCACCTTTAGCTCCACTAGCAGTGGAGCAGGTGGCTATTGTGCCCCACCAGTTCAGTGTTCATTACCAGCGTGCCTGACTTGATCTAGATCTTATTCTGGAAGGGCGGGTACATCAGAGCACAGAGAAGCTGTGGAAGCCTATGATGGTGGCTGTCTGCAGTACATCTGGAGTGTCGTCAGAGGAAAGTCAGGAAGAAGGAAGGCTGGTGATGCAGTGTGTCTGTATCCCAGTGTGGAGCAAGATGAGTTCAAGACCATCCTGGGCCACATAGCAAGTCGGAGGTCAAGGTTTTAGAAAAGCTAGAGAGAGAGCCCCATAAGTGAGTTCTGGTTTGAACCAAATATGTTGTAGGAGACAACTGTGATATAATTGGAGACATTTTACCACAAACAGGTTTGGAGTTAAAGACAGAATTCTGGTCATGCAGGACAATGTCTTTGTGCTGAAGTATTTGGGGTATAAAGTGTCCTCTCAATAATCTTAAAACAACTTAAGATCACACAGAAATAATAGAAAAAATATTTCAGATGTGGACTGGTGCCCCTGCATAGGGCATGGGTATCCTTACTAAGAACCTTATGGAACCCTCTCAGATGCCTTCAATTTGCTAATTGTTTGACATTCTGGATGAATATTTATTTATATTATGTTAATGTATAATACTAACATAAGTTGTGTAGTATAGGGAGAGGCAGAAGCCTTCAGTCAAACAAACTGCCTGCCTCGTAGATTGTCATAGCCATGGACCTCCATTGCTTTTGCCATAGGTCTCCATTCAGTACAGTTGATTCAGTCGTCACAGTGTGGTGCTGGAGAAAAGTTTGTTCAGAGTCTGGCTTCAGAGAGTAGATTTTGTTTTGGTTTTTGTTCATTTGGAGTTTTTTTGTTTTGTTTTGTTGTTTTTTGACATAGTGTCTCACCATGTAGCCTTGGCTGTCCTGGAACTCGCTATGTAGACCAGGCTAACCTAAAACTCACCAAGATCCCCCTGTCTCTGCCTTCCGAGTGCTAGGATTGAAGGTGTACACCACTTTGCCCTGCCCACATTTTGTTTGTTTGTTTTTAATTTTTTGGTGTTGTTTATTGTTCTGGGTTTCAAACCCAGGACCTCAAGAATGTTTAGGGAAGTACTCTCTACCTGCCCAGCCCAGTAATGTTCTTCAAATGTGCCAGCTACATTCATACATGTACACATAGGAAAGGGGTTGCCTGCAAGAGCAGACACCTGAAAGGATTCTTTGTTTGGCTATGAAAGGAGCTTGAAACTTACATGGTGGTGGCACTGATGTTTTTTCTTCTTGTGTGACAGCTGTGGACCTGCTGGAGAAGATGCTCGTTTTGGACTCAGATAAGAGAATCACAGCGGCCCAAGCCCTTGCACATGCCTACTTTGCTCAGTATCATGACCCTGATGATGAGCCTGTGGCCGACCCTTACGACCAGTCTTTTGAAAGCAGGGACCTCCTTATAGATGAGTGGAAAAGTAAGTCCAGCGGTGGGCCAGGATGGGTCTATGGAGCTTGGTTTCAGTCTGTTCCTGTTTAGTTGCTCTGTTTGATGTATGTTTGTTTTTTGAGCCAGGGCTTTTTTCTGTGTAGCCCTGATTGTCTTGGAACTAGAACTGTAGACCAGGCTGGCCTTGAAATCACAGAGATCTGCCTGTCTCTGCCTCTGCCTCTTGCCTCCGCCTCTGCCTCCCAAGTGCTAAAAGGTAGGTGCCACCATACCCAGCTTATTGGACCTAAGGCCTCACATGAAACACAAGTGGTCTACCAATGAACCACAAGTCCAGCTCAAGAACTTATTTTTAAAAATATTTTCTAGGCTAAGCTGTGGTGGTGCATGCCTTTAATGCCAGCACTTGGGAGGCAGAGGCAGAGGCAGAGGCAGGTGGATCTTAGTGTGTTCGAGGCCATCCTGGTCTACAGAATGAGTTCCAAGAGAACTGTCTTGGGGAGTTGGGGGAAGGATCTTTTCTGGTTGATTGTTACTAATCAGAAGTCTTGGGGAAAATACTCATCAATGGCAACCTAGTGTTGTAAGCACATCTATGGGCCAGCACTCTGGAAGTGGATAACAGTTTAATGTTCACAGGCACATAGGTAGCTTGAGGCCAGCCTGGGCTATATGAGTCTGTCTCAGTAAAGCCCTTGTGAACAGTTACTGCCAGCTCACTAAACTTATATCTAGGGTCTTTGGTGCATGTGTTCCCTGATGTTGTGTATAGATGCACACTCACAGTGCACAGCTCTTCACATTGACATAAAAATTTTGAGGCTGGGGGCGAGGTGCATTTACAGCATCTCTTAGGAAAAAGTAGGGTTCTGTGTGTTTTCAGTTTCCCGATTGAGAAAACTAGGGTAAGTTTTTAAAGCTTGCCTTTGGTCTTGTTAGGGGCTGCCCAGAATAGAGTCACATCTCCCATGTCCAATGTCAGATTCCTTCATAAATCACAAGGTAGGCTGTTCAGGTAGACCCCAGAGCCAGGACTGTCTTCCGCTGTGGTGCGCAATGCCACACCTCATGGGCAGTGACAGTGTCTACAGGCAAACACAGCAGTCTCAACTCTCACACCTCACCCTTCTTTCCCTGTCATAGGCCTGACCTACGATGAAGTCATCAGCTTTGTGCCACCACCCCTTGACCAAGAAGAAATGGAATCCTGAACACCTGGTTTCTTCTGTGTCGATCCCACTTCACTGTGAGGGGAAGCCTTTTCATGGGAACTCTCCAAATATCATTCAAGTGCCTCTTGTTGAAAGATTCCTTCATGGTGGAAAGGGGTGCACGTGTGTGCAGTGTGTGTGTGTGTGTGTGTGTGTGTGTGACAGAGAGAGAGAGAGAGAGAGAGAGAGAGTGTGTGTGTGTGTTTCTGTCTGTCTGTCTGTGTGGCTGAAGTGAGTTCATGCTGAATGCTCCATGGCAGCCTCTGCCCACTTCTCAGAGTCTGGGCAGGCAGATGGGAACTGCTGTCATTAGGGATATATGAAGTGCAGAGTAAGAAATTTTAAGATATCCCTGTTCCTAGTTATACTTTTGCCACTCTGGCTTCTCCCGTGGCACTGCCTTTACCACACACCACAGTGGTACAGAGTCCATCCCCCTGCCATGCATACAGCTGAAGAGGACCAACTGGCTCCTGAGCTCTAGCCTATGATTGGCTTGCTTTTGATGGTCCTCAGAGCCTGACAGGTGTGTTCAAAGCCGTCAGTCTGTTTGTGCCTTAAACGGAGAAGGACGCATAGGTAGCTAGAGAACCACAGCTGCCGATGTTCTGAGCCAGATGAATGCACAGAGCTGATGAGTAGCTGGGGTTGAGCTGGAAGAAACAAGGTAGCCTTCAGAGAGGCTGTGTGTGCGCGCACGCATATAAAGAGTGTACATGCATGCATGTGTGTATGCGTGGCCACCCTGCAGCCTTCAGGGAAGCCGTAGCCGTGTGTGTGTGTGTGTGTGTGAGTGTGTGTGTGTGTGTGTGTGTGTGTGTGTGTGTGTGTATGTCTGTCTGTCCGCCTTCCCTCTCCCAGGAGCAAGCGGAATCTATGCTTACCCTTCACCTCAGTGCAGAGGTCCCCAGTGGCAGGCACAAGTTATTGCCATCAGCCGCTTCCTATGTGCTCTTCACATCCGACAGAGTGCGGGTGTGTTTGCATGCTCTTGGAGCTTCCACAGCCCCTTGTCTGTCCTCTTCCGGAAGTCCTGGGACTACCAGGTGTGTGGGGACTTCCTGGCAGTTCCAGTCCGAGTTGCCTCAGCCGATGCCTTGGGCACGCTACTGCCTCCTCACTCCAGCGTTACTTTGTGTTGAACACAGCTGATTCTCCAGGTGCTTGTGATGCAAGGAGAAACAGGGTGGACAGAGCGCCTGAACTTTTGCCATCTGACTGTCATCAATTCATAGGGAAGAGGCCTCTCCTAAGAATGTCCCAGCTCTGGAAATCATGCTCCCCTCACTTGTAGTAACCAGCTAAGGAATGCTGAACCAAAGTGAGGAACAAAGGCTCGTGAGGCAGGACTCCCTCCACTGTCTTTCTCAAAATAGGGTTATTAAGAAAAAAACCAGGCACCAGCGGCGCCTTTGCTCAGAAGGGTCCTCCCGGCAGCTTGACACTGACTGGTTCTCCGTCTTGGTGTTGATTTGGGGAGAAATCAATTTTGTCTTGGAATTTTGTATGTTGTGGGAATCCTTAGAGAATGTGATTCCTTCTGATGGGGAGAAAGGGCAAATTATTTTAATGTTTTGTATTTTCACCTTTTTAAAGATGAAATCCTCAGGGGTGAAGAACTGTTTGCATAATTTTCTGAATTTCAGGCACTTTGTGCTATAAGGACCCATATATTTAAGCCTTTTGTGTAGTAAGAAAATGAAAAGCCAATTCCAGTGTTGGCCGTGACAGGTCTCGTATTTAGGTCAAGGTGTCCCCATTCTCTATCCGTGCAGGGCATGCATGCTCCGGGCGGGAAGGGTAGGACCCTGATTCATAGGGAGCCAAGAAGGATGCAGGTTGGCCAACCATTGCCACCTCAGGATGCAGTTTAGCCCTTTACCACCCCCACAAGATGCATTCTAGTGGCCATGTCTGGTTATGAAGGCAAATCTGATTTCCGACAGAATTCTGCTTGGATTATTTTATTGACGTTGTCTTTGCACATGTGACCATGCTGTGTTAAGAGGCCCTGCTCCAGGGCCTGGACTCTCTGGAGCTGACAGAAGAGCTCCCAGCATCCACAGTGAAATGCTGCCATCTCCCAGTTTCTCTATCAAAAGACAAGGGAATGAGGGAACTGCTGTTTTGTTTGTATTCATGAACTTGGCTGTAGTCCCATATGCCATAGGATGTCAGACAATACCACTGGTTAAAATAAAACCTATTTTTCAAATTCAGTTGGTTTCTCAAGTTCTGTTCCTCTTCGTTGCTGTCTTTTTCAGCATGTCCTGGCATACATTTCTGGCAGACCCTTTATAAAGCTGTTTAGTTGTACTTGTAGAGTCAGATCTATACTGTAGTGAGTAAACACATGGGGAACAAAACAGGATAGTAAGAATGGCCTGGGGTTGGTCAACAAATACCTGTTTTTATACAGTCTTTAATGAATGGTTTTCACATTTTCAAATGATTAAAAGGGTCCAAAGAGTATTTTTTGTAGCATGCACAAACTGATGCACAGTTTGAATTCCAGTGTCCAAAAATAAAGTTTGATCAGAGACTATCCACAGTTTGTTACATGTCCCCTGTGGCTGGCCTTGAACTCACAGAGATCTGCATGTCTCTGCTTCCCAAGTGCTGGGACTAAAGGCATGTGCAACCACTGCCCAGCTCAGCCTCCTTTCTTATAGAACCCAGGACCACCCACCATGAGCTGGGCCCTCTCCCATTGATCACTAATAAAGAAAAGACCTTACAGATGGGTCTCATAGAGGCATTTCCTCAACTGAGGCTCTTTCCTCTCTAATAACTCTAGCTTGTGTCAAACTGAAAACTAACACACAAAACGAGCCAGTACAGCAGGCTGGAGAGATGGCTCTGGTTAAGAGCACTGGCTGCTCTTCCAGAGGATCAGAGTTCAATTCCCAGCACCCACATGACACAACTGTCTGTAACCACAGTTCTAGGGGATTGACGTCTTCACACCAATGCACATAAAGTTAAATAAATTATTTAAAATAATAATTAAAAAAAATAGCTGGGCAGTGGTAGTTCCAGCACTTGTGAGGGCACTTGTGAGGCAGAGGCAGGCAGGCAGACCTCTGAATTCGAGGCCAGCCTGGCCTATACAGTGAGTTTCAGGATGGTCAGAGCTGCATAGTGAGACCCTGTCTTGGGGAAAACAAAATAAAATAAATGGTGCTTTTAAAGATTCACATGTCTTAAAAAGAGTCAAGTATTTCAGAAGGAAGTCCTGAGGCATGCTTGACACCTGTGACCCCAGTGCTCACACACATGACAGCACACAGCTGTCTGAACTCCAGTTCTAGGGGATATGAAGCCCTCTTCTGGCCTCTGCCCACATTGCATGAACATGGTATAAAGACATACACTCTAAGATATACACAAGCAAAACCTGAATACTCATAAAATTAATCTTTTAGTCACTTCTCTTCAATAAAAGAATAAAGTATGTTTGGTACCAAACTGTATTAGTTATTTCTATGTTGCTGTGACAAACAAAAGTAACTTGGGGGAGGAAAGGGCTTGTCTGTCTTGATGGTTACAAATACAGCCCACCACGGAAGGAGATCAAGAGAATCTGGAGGCACAACTGAAGGGGAGGCAATGCAGAAATGCTGGTTACTGGCTTGCTTTCCATGGCTCACTCAAACTGCTTTCAAGTATAAGCCAGGACCACCTACCCAGGGTGGCCCCGCCCACAGGAGCTAGGCCTTCCCACATCACCCACCAATCAAGAAAACGCCCTTCAGATGTAACCCAGTTTCATGGAGGCCACTGATCAGCTGAGGCTCCTCCTTCATGGGTCACCCTAGTTTGTTGACGACAGCTAACCTGCCCACAGATGAAGGACATTTCCCAAAAGTAAACCATGGAGGTGGAATGGACGGGACTGAGTCAGTTCAGAAGCAAAAGCCATCAGCCATGGACAGGAAGTCCAGTCATTAAGTGAGTTTGTCTCCACAGTTTTCTCCACAGGACCTTTAGTGTAGCACACTGGACAACTGGTTTCACAGCCAAGGACCTGGGTTTAAAGTTCACCTCAGCCTCGACCTGGACAGAGCAGTTGCTAACATTCAAATGACTAGCAAGATGAAGTGGTTCCCAGCATGCCCAGTGTGCGTAAACACCTAGGGTTGTATCAGCATCCTGAGCTAAGACTGGACTGCTGCTGAGACCGCTCTGAGTGTGGAGAGAGGCCTGGAGACCAGAGGATTTCTGTCAGTCACGTAAGGACCCCCTACCACTCCCTTTTTTTTGGGGGGGGAAGGGGGGTGTTGTCAAGACAGGATTTCTCTGTGTAGCCCTGGCTGTCCTGGAACTTACTCTGTAGACCAGGCTGGCCTGGAACTCACAGAGATCTGCCTCCCAAATGTTTTGACTAAAGGCTTGAGCCACCACAACCAACTTCTGTTTTAAATAAAATTTTAAAATGAAATTAAAGCTTGGGGGGACTGGGGGTGGAGGTGTGTGGTGGCACACGCCTTTAGTGCCAGCACTCTGGAGACAAAGGACCCAAATTTGATCACCAACACTCATGCTAGGTGGCTCACAACTGCCTGTACTCCAGCTCCAGGTGATCCAGTGCCACTGGCCTCTGGTATCGAAGGGCCTCTGTACTCCTGTGTACATACCCACACACAGATTCACACATGTACACATACCTCTAAGTCTTTGAAAAAGTCATATTTCACTTCAAATCTCACCCCCTACTGTGATGCCCACTTGGATGTGGGAGAAGGCAATTGTGTGCAATGGCTACCACCTACCTGGTGGCCCCTGCAGAGCCTCCCAGTGCCCATTGCTGGAGGTCATTTCCAGGCTAAATGCACCTTTGGATAGCTCCCTGACTCACTGTGTGTCCTGGGTGTTCCCTGGACCTGCTGAGCTGGCTCTGCCTTTCCCACTGTGGAGTCTGGTGATCATCTGCAGGGTGATACCAAGACCCACTTCCTCTGGGCTATTGCTCAGGCATGATGGAGCCTCCATGGAAGACTTGTCACCCAATGACTGTCTGATAATGCTGTGACAGCACTGTGTGGGTAGTGTCCCCACCTACAGATGCAGGATGGGCATGGGGGGACTTGGTCCACTCATAACCCATCCTGCTCTCAGAGACCACCGCTTTCCAGGCTCTGGCCATCCCTGCTTGGTCCCTGGGTTTCTGTGGCTTGTTGGAGATTACTGATACAGAGAACTGCCATATGACTTCTCCTGGTTTCTAAAAATGTATTTTTATTAAGCCAGGTGTGCTAGTGCACACCTTTATTCCTAGCACTTTGGAGGCAAAGACAGGCAGATCTCTTGAGTTCAAGGCCAGCCTTGTCTACAGAGTGAATCTACAGGGTAACACAGAGAAACCCTGTCAAAAATATATGTGTATGTTTTTTTACCATTTTTATGTATGTGTGTATGCATGTATGTGTCTCTGTGGAGGGATTGTCACATGAGTGGGTGGGTACCCAAGGAAGTCAGAAGCAAGTGTTGGATCCCTGAAGCTGGGATTACAGGCAGTTGCAAGCTGCCTGATATAGGTTCCAAGAATCAAACTTGGATCTTCTGTAACAGTCAGTGCTCTTAACAGATAAGTATCTCTTCAGTCTATCATTTTGGGTGTGTTTCCTACTACCACCCAACCTCCAGCATCCATTTAAAAATAATTTCTTAGCTGGGCATGGTGGCACACGCTTTTAGTCTCAACATTTGGGAGGCAGAGAGGCAGGCAGATCTCTGTAAGTTTTTTCTTAAAGATTTATTTATTTATTTATTTATTTATTTATTTATTTATTATGCATGGTTTTCTGCCTGTATGTTTGCCTGCATGCCAAATACAGGCACCAAATCTCATTACAGATGGGTGTGAGCCACCATGTGGGTGCTGGGAATTGAACTTGGAACCTCTGGAAGAGATCAGCCACAACCCTTAAGACATCTCTCCAGCCTTAGATCCCTGTGAGTTTTAGTCCAGCCTAGTCTATGTAGCAAGTTCTAGGCTAGCCAGAGCTACATAATGCGATGAGACTCTGTGCATCAAACCAGAATAAGAAATTAATAAACAAATTAATTAAGATTCAAAGTCTAGGGGGTGTCACACAAATACTTGAGTTTGATCCCCAGCTCTCATGTAAAAAAGTGTTGACTGCGCTTGAAACTGTAGCTTTGGGGACAAGTCCCAAGATCCACTGAGAGATCCAGGCTCAAAAAAGCAAGGTAAGTCAATGGTACACACCTTTAATCCCAGCATTCAGGAGGCAGAGGCAAGTGAATCTCTGAGTGAGAGGCTAGCCTGATCTACAGAGCGAGTTCCAGGACAGCCAGGGTTTCACAGAAACCCTATCTCAAAAAACAAAACCAACCAAACAGGCAAGCAACTCCCCACCCAAAACTGTAAGGGCTGCTGAGATGGCTCAACAGGTAAAAGTACTTGCCTCCAAGGCTGAAGACCTGAGTTTGATTCCTGGGACTCACAGGATGGAAGGAGAGAACTGGCTCTTGAAAAGCTGCCCTTAGACTCGTGCACACGTGCTGTGGCTCTCGTGCACACCACACCACAGAATAAACAACTAAACGTAATTTTAAAAAAAGGTAGTTGGGATCATAAATGGGTGATGTTATGATGTCAGAATGACTGAGTAGTAGCTGCTTCCGCCCTGGGAGCTACAGTCATTTCCAGACAGAGGGAAAACGTAAATGGAGAAGGAACTGAAACCCAGAAACCACCAGGTTAATGGATTAGTAGAGGATGAAACTGCAGGATTTGGTGAGGCTGGTTGCCTCCAGGAGCCAAACCTGTCATCCTCTTCCAGTGTGACTGCTCTGGTACTGACAGACAGCATCACCTGTAGAGAAAGGTGACAATGGACACCAGAGCAGGAAACAACAGCTGTGTGTTCAGACAGAATTATTTCATAGCCAAGAAAACAAACGCGCTGTGGCCAGTGGAGCGCAAGGTCACATGCTGGAACACTAGCGTTGGGAGGCTGAGGCAGGAGGATCAGATGTTCAGGGCTAGCCTAGGCAACGTGTAGAGACATTATCTGAAATACACACAGAGAATGTATCAGGGCTGGTGAAATGGCTCAGTGGGTAAGGGGACTTGCTGCCAAGACTGACAACCTGAGTTTGATTCCCCAGAAGAACCTACAAGGTGGAAGGAGAGAACCAACTCCCAAAAGTTTGTCCTCTGATCTCACACACACATAAATCATAGTAACTC